TGGAGAAAGCCTTTAGAAAGGAAAAAGAAACTTTTTCTGCAAGTGATGTAGATGGTATTAAAGATAGCAATAGCTGCCCTTTTCAGAAAAAAGAAGAGATAATTACTTGAGATGGGTTGAAACTGTTGTTCTTGCTCATGTTGCTAAAGTCTGGTCCCAATTCCTGGATGACAAAATAAGACAAACGCACACAAAAAGGGATAGAACAGAATACAAAAGATAGACAAATCTGGTTGATTTTCACTTGCAAAGTTCACTGGAAAAACACAGACAAGGCACACAGTCTTATCAGATACTCTGAGATCAGGCAAACTTGTTTAGGTTATTGCTTTTAGCTGCCTCTTTCTGGTCACAGTCACAGTATTGCCAAATATGCAGTCTTGATCAACTAAGCCAGATTCTAATTAGACAAAAGTAAAAAGGAGATAAAGAGATGAAATAAAATAGAAAAGGGAAAAGAACGTATTGGAAGGAGTTGGGAGAGACAAGGTCTTATCTCCCAAGTAGTGTTCAGGTCCAGCAAGAGGTGGTGGAGGTAGCAGTGTCATCTGACTCCCTCCCTCCAAAATAATCTGCTCAGGACATCATTCAGTATTAGGATGAAGATGGTCCAGTCACTACATATGGTGGGGGTGGAAGCGACTCTCGTCAAACTCATGCCATGAGCCATTTTTTTCTCCAAATCTTCCTTTCACGACTCAAATGTGGTGATGGTTGGAATACACAGTCCATTCATTATTTTGTTCACCAATTAGCTTAATTTCCAACTTAATTTTCACAGCTGAGCTTACTTTACAGAAATTTGTGGGCCAAATTATGACAACACTGTCTATCCTTACAATCAATGATAAAAATTCCTGGCATTCTGTTGATGATACAACTTCTTCTGATAGAGGTGCTCCACCAGTGAATTACAGGTGATAGTATTTCAAATATAGGCAAGAGTTGGACCAATGACTGGAATAGTATGGGAAAGAGACCACTGTACTCTGAAGTCAGCATTTTGTAGTAAAAAGGCCAATTTTTGCTGCAAATATTTATATATAAAAGGTTACAGAAATCATATAATTTCAAGTCCAATACCAAGCCCAAATGAATTTGTCTCCTCTTTCAGCAAATTAACATAAGCGGTATAATATAAATAGTACAAGATATTTTTATTTGAGGTTAAAAAATTGAAAAGTCATTTTACCTCCTAATGTAGCTGAATAACTGGATGTCTGTCCAAACTGATTTTCTATGTATTTTGGCAGAAATGTGGCAAAGCCAGTGGCAACTAAAGCTTCTGTAGAAGCAGCTATTATTAAACACATCAATACAGGATTCTTCAGCAGTATCTGGGAGGGGAAAGTTTGTTTAGTAGTCTGTACATTCCTTCACTATAGTATTACTATTACTTTATTTATTTATTGTAAGTAAACAACATTTTAAAATGTGTGCTGATACTTTGGTTTAAAAGACTTGGGAATTACAAGCCCTGAAACTGTCAATATGATTTTCTACTTTTTCCCACACTTCACTTGTCATACACATCTGAAATAGATTTATTAGAAATTAGTCTTAATAAAGGACTTTTTTGTCCAGGAAAAATGAATTGACCATTCTAGTTTTAGATGTTTGAGTGATAAGTTTTCAATGTATTAGACCAGTGTTTCTTAAACTGTGTTCTGCAGGACACCGGTGTGCCGCGAGGCAGTCAGAGGTTTGCCATGGAAAACAACAGAGTTCAAAATGGCCCCCCTTAAAGGGGCAGGCAACCTTTTTTTTTTTTTTTTGTTTAATAACTCTCCCCCCCCCCCCCAACAAAAAAAATCATTGGTGTTCCTCATAAAAAAATTGTTTGGTGTTCCATGATCTTAAAAAGTTTAAAAAACACTGTATTAGATAGTCTTAAAGTCTCCCAAAGAAAGAGATCATAAGGCTAAATAACAAGAAGAATCAAAGTTTCATCTTTATTTTGCATTCTCTTATTTCTTACTATATTCTCTTGCAGGAGTTGTGGCCAAAAACTTGAGTACTTACGGAGAAGCAAGGAGTCAAAAGTTTTAACAAAAAGATGCTCTCCTGACAATAAAGTTACAACCCCTCTTTGGGGGTGGTTTTATTTTGCTGGCAGGAGAACTCTCTCCTGCATGCAAAGACTGGATACACTGCATATCTCACAGAAGCATAGCTTTAGTGACACAGCTGTGCTTCTGCCAGGTATGCAGTGTAGACATAGCCTTAGTGCCACAGATGCCATTGGGCTTCCCTTCTCCTGCATTGTACCGCTATACACATTTACTGAAGGAATTTACTTTTATCATAAAATGAAGCTGATTCTGAAGTCTTTCACAGTTTCATTCAGTTATGAATTTCTTGGGTAAGCCAAGCTGCTGACTTATATTAAATTTATTTCAGCTTCTTACAAGAATAGAAAAATATTACGACAATTCATGATAAAGTTGCTATTTCAAGTTTTTTGGCCAAATAGCATCTTTACTGAAAAGTTCAGTTTTGGTGAATAAAAAAATATTCTTTCAGTAGTTTCAGCCAAGAACAAAGGAATGTGTGGAAAGTGGGAGGTGGAGAAGTCACTCTCATTCACAGAGGCAACGCACAATCATTCATAATGACAATGAACAGTCACTGAACCAGAAGAAAGAAGATTAGTTACTAATCTATTCAGTAACTGTTTGTATGGCATGTATTGCACATGTTAATTGCACTTATCTTGCAACTTTCCCCCTCACTGGTAACAATGGGCATTTCAAGCTCCCCCTGCTGCTATACAACACAATATGTGGGTACAAACAACAGAGCCACTCTTAGCGACTGCTGTTCCTTCCTGGTGGAACTCCAATGTAGAGGGTAGAATTGTGTACTGTGAACATGGAAATGGAGATGTACAACACATTTCAAACAACAACATTTACTGAACTTGTTAGTAACCATTTTCTTCTTAAATATGCATTTCACTCTTGGTGAGTTTCGAGCCATGAAAACAAGAAATGGGAGTCTATTTCAATGAAGACTGAAAAACCACCCATGCAACTCTAGCTTCAGCTCTAGAATCTTCAGCCACTGCATAGAAGGAAATAAACCTGTAGACAAGGAGGCCGCACTACAAATGTCTGTAATTGAAAACTGTGCCAGAAAGTTCATGAAAGATGACTGTGATATTGTTGAATAATGGTGTGACATTAGCCATACATATACAGAATGTCATCCAGGAAGAAATTCTCTGCCTAGAGACTGACTGTCCTCTTATTCCGGCTGCCACTGCTATGAACAGCAGGAAGGATTTACACAAGTCCCAGGCTCCACCTCCAAGTAGTCATGCCTGGTATTTGGGGCAGAGGTCAAAGCCAGGGACAGGGTCCTGACTGGGCCAAGGGTATCACTGGAATCAAGATCTGGGGATATGACAAGGTCAGAACCAACCTCAGTTATAGAGAAGCCAGATTCAGCATTGCAGCCGGATTCCAGGTATAAACCTGCTGCTGAAGCGAGGTGGTCAGAATTCAGGGACAATTCAAATTAGTATTGTAGCCAGCATCCAGATACAAAGAGGGTCAAAGGATAAAAAGGGTCAGTGACAGGGCACAACAAAGTCAGTGAAGAACACAAACTAGTCTGGAACAGAGTTCAGACAAGGCTGGAGCAGGAACAGGATCAAGAGCAATCTGGGAATCTCAACAGTCTAATACACTGCAAGGCTGCAGGAAGATTCCTGGTTGGGCAGTGCTGTTGCATAGACTAATCTGCAGCTTTGGCAGGATTGGGGAAATACCAGAGTCTGAGGGTCATCTGACCAGATCTTGGCACAGGGACAGGCTGCTACTTCTTGCCTGATGGCTGAAATCACTGCAGGCTACTTTGGAAGGGTAAATCAATGAAATTGGATTGTTACTGCATTCCTGAGTGATTACTTGCCTCAGTTTTGCTGGAGTGGCAGCTGAGTGTACAGCCTTGGTTTGACAGCATGAGGGGTGACCCAAAGGTCATTTGATGGATGCAGCATCCCTTCATTAATAGGTACTTCAGCCATGTTTTGGGATGTTTGTTTTCAGATATCAAACAAATTTATACTTTCTCCTGAATGGTGTCCAAAGGAATTTATTTTTTGCAGTGTGCTTCAATTTTCAACTGATGATTTTAAATGTGGTCACGAATTATTGTGCATCATGAAATAGTTTCATCAAGCAAAGCAGAAAGGCCACAGAGAATCACTCTCTTAGGGTATGTTTACACTACCACCCTAATTCGAACTAGGATGGTTAATGTAGGCAACCGAAGTTGCAAATGAAGCCCGGGATTTAAATATCCCGGGCTTCATTTGCATCTTGCTGGGCGCCGCCATTTTTAAAGCCCCGGTAGTTCGGACTCCGTGCCTGTGGCTACACGCAGCACGGAGTAGGTAGTTCAGATTAGGCTCTCTAATCCGAACTACCGGTACACTTCGTTCCACGTTCCTCCGAACTACTTACTCCCTGCCGCTTGTAGCCGTGGGCACAGAGTCCGAACTACCGGGGCTTTAAAAATGGCGGCGCCCAGCAAGATGCAAATGAAGCCCGGGATATTTAAATCCCAGTTGGATTCTCTAATGTCGTCAAAAATTAGCCATAGGTCAGTTAAGTGAAAATATTCCTCATGATGCAGTAGTAACAGGACTGAACAGTAACACCTTTTAGCAATGCCAAAAGTACAATACATTCAAAACGCTAATTCGAACTAGTTTTTAAGTCTAGATGCGCAAATTCGAATTAGCTTAGTTCAAATTAACTAAGTTAGTTCGAATTAGTGCAGTAGTGTAGACGTACCCTTACAGACTAGCTGTAAGGCTGCTGCTGGAGAAGGAGGGAAAAATAGGGGGAAGGGTCAGAGAGGAAGGGGCTTGTGCTGAGGGGAGGGGGGCAGGACAGGAGAAGAAAGGGGAAGGCACTAAGGGACAGGGTAGACGAGAGAGACAAATGCCAGGGGGCCTAGTGGAAACAATGAGGAAAAGAGCAG